TAAATATTAACTATCATATAAAAATGGCAGCTTGATTGTTTGGAAGCAGTAATCTGGTGCTGGTTATTGCCACATTTCCCTAATGCATTAGGCAGTAGTCACAAAATGCATTGCCTTTCTCATATACCTGCTACTACGAAATCAGAAGCAGATAAGTTCTTTGTATATCTTCCCTTTCTCTTGGATTTAATTTTTATTTATTTCTGAACTGCAGATATCTTTGATCTGAATTGCAAAAATGCATTAGTATAATATAAACAAAAATATGCTCACCAGAGTCAGAAATTATATGCATCATCTCTAAATCAATGGGAAAAAAATATACAAAGAACCAGTAACAGATATATTACTTTGTGCTTGAAATATTTTTATGACAGTTCTCATATAATATGGGTGCCATATATCATGAATTGGGTTGTTTACCTAAATTCTTAATAAGATCCTACTTATTTATGTAAAGTACATTCTATTCTCAGTACTTTAAGAGTTGTCTTTTCCAGAAATGGTAAGAAGCTACACATTACCGCTAATATGAAATAAATCCTTTATTCTATGCTAACTGTATGATCAGGATATGTGGACACTTCACAGACCATTAAAACCTTTCAGTAATTGATAGGTAATCGCTCATTTACTGGCTGCAGCAATGTACATGAGAGAGAAACCATTCTTTCTAACTAATGTAACATGTAGAACTTGCTGCTATTGCAGCGCTTAATGTTCATAGTGCCATATCATTTTTAATGCAAACACTCATTTTCTGCCTCCTTCTTACATTTTCTATTAAAATGCAACACAAACCAGCATACATTTCATTCTATCCCTTTGAGGGTTGCATAAGCAGTTCCAAGGAATATCAGCTATTGTATTGTTGTTATTATTATTGTAAATAAATATTTCAGAGTTTAAGGTGTACATATTTCATAATTTTTTTTTCTAGGAGGCTCACTGCCACTTTCTGAAACTTTTTACATCTTCTTTAAGATAGTGCAGCTTTTAATGCAAATAACACCTTGCAACCCAAGGCAGATTCATATCCTAGTTAATAAACAGCACCAATGCATTTGTCAAGACTTTAATGGCAACTCTACCTAACTTTTCATACACCAGCTTTTCTAGGAAATGGCTATACTGAGGAATTTATTCTGCTTAATTGCTTTATATTAAGCAGCTTTCATTAGCCATCCTCTAATCCGTATGAACAGAAATAAACGGAGTCAGAAAAATGAACTCGTTTAACCCTTCCTATTATTAAAAAATATCTTAGGTGAGTTTTGTTATTAAAAACAAGGAATCAAATACAAGTAAAACTGATGCAACTCCATTCAATCAATGTGGGAATTTTTAGCAAGTTTGTGCATTAAAGACCTATGGTCTGTCTGAAATTTCCAGCAAAATACAAATTCAGAGTTCCTTACACATTTGCCTTGAAGTTAATAGACTAATTACATTAACTGATTTATTAATAAATGGGGCTTTTTGTCTAATTATTGTAAGCACTAACAGACTGGGGAACCATTTTAAATGTCTAATGTGCCTTGAAACAATTTTTTTAGGTTAATTAAATTTCTCACTAAAGTCACTATAGATATGCTCCTTAGGTTTTACACTGGAAGATTAAAGAAAAAAGTAAAGATGATTACCTCATTGGCCAACTCCAGTAATACAGGGGCAGCTGCATTTTTCACCACCCCATTCAGGTACCTAGATAAGACAAAGCCAGGTAATTCTGCAGTGGCAAGGAAAAGCCAGTTTATACATGACAGTATCCCTAGTGAACTTTCATTTGGGGGAAAACACCCCAGTACAGAGTACTTAATGGTAAATCTTTTACAAAATAAGTTTTTTAAACAATCACTAACTCTCCAGAGTTGTCTCCTATTCATCTGCAAGATATTGAAATCTGAATTAAGTCACTGGTAAAAAAACCACAATAAATCAAGAAATTAAAAAGAAATTGGCTTAATGACATACAAATAAATTATATCTGTACTACTTAAAGATGCATCACAGAAAAATAAACCTCTATTATTCAGAGTAAAGATTTTGGGTTTTACATGATCTTCAACTATGAAGGTGCACTGTACATTTATTCAATTCACTACTATGCACAAAAACATAAATTCTCAAATTTAATCCAGATTTTATCAACTGGGCAGTAGTTAAATACTAAAGGCTTTAGTGAAATCAGAGTTTAACAATAAAAAAAATATTCTAAAGAGAAGATAAAAGAAGAAACATTTAGGATCCAATACAGGTGAATAGAAAGTCATTATTAATGGCAAAGGCTTAATTTTTCTGGTCAAGGATATTAGAACAGTAAGGATACAGGGTGACGTTTCTGACCATTGCTTCACACAATGTGTCCTTCCTTGTTTCTGTTACTTTCACTGTTTGATGTTTACTTCAACAATGCCTAAAACCTGCTCCCAGGAGTTGATGGGAACAAGCTATATTACTGGAAGCCCCTTTGTGCTTTGCAGCCATATGAAAAAGAACAATAGTTACCAACATTTGAACCTGGTCGTTTATTCTGTCTGTATTAGTAGAGCACATCATTACTGACATCATTAGAAGGCCACAGCCTTTCCAGCTTCTTCATTATCTATCCATCAGAAGACTGCTCTTCTGCTCATTAGTTACAGATATTAAAATTCTTTATCATTTTACCTTTCTGTGGAATGGGCGTAACACCTTTACATAAACCTCTTCACAGAGGATTAGAGGGCTTTTTATTTGCAAGTTATTCTGAGGCTTAATGCATAAAGGAAATTATTTTGGTGTAGCCTATTTCAATTCTACATTTAAAAAAACACAAACCAAGATGCCTTGTGTATTATTAAACACTGAAAATTTATAATAGAAGAAAAAAAGGAGAGATCATAAGCAAAATACCTAACCAGGAAGATTAATTTGAGATTAATGTTCTAAAACATACCTCTAAGTTGATGGAACAGCATGGCCTCAGCTAACAATGGAGTAATTTTCTGTCAGATATTTCTAATGCTACTGGCAATTCTATTATGGACTAACAGGTCTCACATGATGATGGCAATACTGTTCTGAAAAGCTTGCCGATCCTTCTTGTAATTTACCTTTCTGCTTGCCTAAATTTAAGACTAGTAAGTCTCAGCAGAGCAGCAGAAACTACTCCACACAACAGGGACCGCTGGAAATGACTACCTTCAAAAATTGGTAGTTTCTGACCTAGGAAAGCAATGGGAGCACAATTATCTACTTGTATGTCAGTGGGAATAGGAAGGAGCACACCACACAGTCTGGGGTTTACAGCGGTAAGATGGATGCTACAGAAGAGTAGAGAAGAAGACATGTTTGTCATGTTTATGCCTGAAGCATTTCAAACTGGCTTCTGACTCAAGTAGTCTGCCCCTGTAGCTTACGAAACATACTACACAGTAAATCTACTAAAACAGGATTGAGATGAGTTTTCTAACTATTAACCAGAACATCTCTGATTTTAAAACATGTGCATTTTATTCGGCCATGTTAATACATCTGCAATATGAAATACCCAGAAATAGCATAAAGAATGATTTTCCCTATCACCACCATATAGCTTCATACATAATGCATTAGTTATGTACTGCTATCATACTTCAGACAGTACAGAAGGGAACAGGAGACCAAATCCTCCTACCTGATGTGAGCCAAACTTAATCATACCTACAACCTTACTGACACCAATACAACTGCTGCTTTGCATAAAGCAAAATTTGGTCTCAGTTTAAGTTGTTGGAACTAGTAACACATCACAGAAGTGATTGAAATGATACATATGTTCTAGAAAAGGGTTATTTACACAGCAGTTACAATTAACATGGGGCCCTTCACTGAAACTGTGCTAGTGAAAAGTAAATTAAAATAGTATTGTATATACATGGTTATTAACACAACAAAACGTTAAGCCAATAACCTTCCTAAACAAGCATCCACACTAGGAAAAGTGCATTGAGATCCAGTACAAATTTTTGCAGAACAATACAACTAAAAAAAAGAAAATCAAATCCCCCAAAAAGCACAATTCACACTATATATTCTAAACCACTGTCTGACATAATCAGACTGTGCTTAGGTTTTAAACATATGACTCTGTAGAAGCACAGTTAATTGTTTACAAATGAAGGCTTTTTGTTTATTTTCCTGATTCATACAGATTAATATTAAGCATAAATATCAGACATCTATAATCACAAGTATGAACTCACTTGCCATGCAAGCTCCTCAGATATGTCAGTCTATGAAGTAATATTTTAATTGCGTATCTTTACCAGTTATCAGCATGCCCCAATTATGTCATTGCAATATTTTTAGTAAGGCCTATAGAAGTAACAGACAAACTATAAGGTGTAGTAAATATAATTTATTAGCTTGAGATGCAAACAATTGTAAAATATTGTAAAACGACATAAAGGTTTTCATCCTCCCTTAACAGCTATTTCTGACAGTTCTGATGATAAAACAGCAGTAATCTAAAAATTAGTGCTTTAACTGGCAATGCATGAATTTAATATGCAACTTTTTGTAATGTAACACAGATTTGTTTTAAAAGTACAAACAACTGTAACAGAACAAGCTCCCTTGCCCTAAGGAACTTATCATCGATATTAGTCTTGACACAGAAATCCTGTAATTACAAACTATAGGCAATATAATAAATACAATGACATGCACTGTAAAAAATATTTGCTTATCCTTCCTTAGAGCCAAGGAAGCAAACCCTTTCTTAATCAGACTGACCAAAAGCTGAAAAATTTCTGCATTTTAACTGAAAGACATTTTTACGTGACCTGTTCTGTAGTCCTCATCCCAAATTTTTTCTTTATTTTTACAGAAAATTAGCTTCATAAGATAATAAGTGAATTTACTCATAATTGTCATAACCATCAGTAGTTATAATGATACTCTTAACCGGGGTGGGGCAGTCATACCTTTGGTAGTAAGTTTCAATAGCTTCAGCAGTGTGATGCTTGGCATGTGTCCTTTTGATTTGTTTCTAGTAAAATGAAAAAACAAAGAGTCTTACAAATGTGTCATAGATCAAAACACAGAAATCATGACTGCCCAAACACATGTTCCTTGGCTACACTTTGATATATAAACTGAACTATGTTTTTAGATTCTGTACAGAAATGACATTCAATCTACCTATTGAACTGAACGTCTTCAGACTGTACTGCAATGTACCATATATGTAAAAGCCAATAAGGTCACAATAATTGAATCTAAATAAGTTTACTGAAGGCTGCAGAGGGCAAAGAAAAGCTTGTTCTCTCTTTCAACCTTTGTATTAATTTTCCCTCAATTCAATTCCATCTAAGTCTGGTGCACTCTAGTTTTACAATTCAATTGGCATTTTTAACCAGGAAGAACATTGCTTAAAAACAACTTATTTGAAAAACTACAAAAAGTAATTCCATAGAGACTTGCCACTTGACTGACACCTGTCATCTCATGATAAATGACTCCATTTTCTGCCTCTCTTGCCTTCTGCCACTCCGGCAATGGTCATTTATCATCATCTCTGTCAGCAATGGAAAGCAGCACTGACAGTGCAAGTCAGCAAACATTTAGCACATGGAACCACGCAACACAGGGAAATTATTATTGTCAGAATAATAATGGTTTAGCATAATTTATTACAGGTCCACCAAATAAGCAAAGGGTAGATGTTATTAGACAGATGGATGGGTAGGCTTGGCAGCCATCCACTGAGACTCAGGCGGTGCTTGATGTGGAAAAGGGAACATCCTCCAAACCAATCAGAAAGCTGGCAGTTCAATTACAAAGAAATAAAGGGACATTCATCATTCAATTAGGCACCTGTCAACCCTCACAAAGGAGAAAACTTCTAACCTGGTACTCCTGGGAGAAGATGCTCAGCAGAGTGGACTGCGATTGACTGGAACAAATAAAAGAAGGACAAAGTTAATTACTGGAGTGCACTGCAAAGAAACAAAAGAGAAGGGAGCTTCAAAGGTAGGCCTGCTGCCCTGTAATCTAACAGAACATGAAAACAAGTGTGGAAAAGTTGTTCCAGATGAACACCTCAGACAAAGGCTTCCTGCTGCTAGGTCAAGGAGAGAGCGTACAAGGGAGGGGAGGAAAATATAGCAAGAGTTTCAAAGCAAACGAGCATATTGTATGGGTGATTCCTGTTTCAGTTTCAGAACCCAGAAAGTCCTATCAGGAGCAGGTAGCTGAGTTAAAAGGGAACAGGCAAAAAGGAAAACAAAGCAAAATTTCCATTAATAATTGATGGCGTTAAATTCTATCAGCATTTGGGAACATGCCGCTTGTTCATTGGCAACATATTGAAATTCATTTTGTTAGCAGCAAGGGAACCTCTTCAGTAGCTGTCTCATATTCAGGTTAAAAACTTCCCCCTCTGTCAGAAGTAGCATATGGGACCACTGGAACATTCCCACTGAAACTGATGTGCTTTGAAAATAGAAACTTTCACAGCAGGAAGCTGAGATTCCCCGGAGTCGGTCATTTCCAAAAGCTGCCATAAGCTTCATTCATCTAAAGCTCCACTCAATGTCAAACACCTGGCAATGAAGCAACCTGGAAAGCATTCTTCCCAAGTGGGAATTTTTCTCTCTGAATTGTTAACATTTAGAAATGGGACAAGAGTTTTTTTTCCCCTCTGAAAGGCAATCAATACCACACTGCTACTGTTTTCAATTGTCCTCTGTGGATATATCTACCTCATCACATCCTGAATACAATTAATTACTCCTGATATATTTTCCTACTACATGCAACTTGAACAAATTACAGTCTCAATAAATCGAGTTTTATGGTACAGCAAAGCATTATGAATAATTAACATTTTTCCTTTTGTGAATTTACCTCCTAAGGCAGAGCGTAAGTAGTTCAAAGACTCAGCAATGTCTAAAGTCTTGCTCTTCTGCCAGATTTCTTGTATGTGAATTTAACACCTGTATCACATCATCTGTACATTAAATGTAAATATTCTCTCCATACTAAAATGGCCCTTCTTGCGATTTTCACACCTCAGAAATACTAATTTAAGATAAGGGAGTCTTACTTCCATTTTCAAAAGGGAAAACTGAGGCACAGAATGACTAAATGGTTTGCTCAGGTTTAAAGAGATGGTATGTCTATGCAGCACAAAAAACGTTACCTCTAAACCAGCCAACTGAAGCATTAGGAACAAAGCAACTAGATTAAAGCAGTGCTATATAAAGAGCTTAGTAGTTTGTCTTATCTGTATCTGTGCTTCCAGCATCTCTCCCGTAACACTGCATTTTGGGCTTGTCTGCCCAGCGCAACATCTGTGTGACAGCAGTAAACTGAGCCTTGATCTCTGGTATTTTTCACATGAGAATGTTCACCCTGAGTACTCACTGACTGAATGTTAAAACTGTACAAAAACAATAGCAACTAATTACAGATTTATAAAATTAATGGATTACAGAAAAATAAATTATAATATAGTCAAGAATTTAAATATTCTTAAATATACATCATTTGACAACATAGGTCATGAGATATGTACCACAACGCCTCCCCCAAAGGTGCACCATCCAACTGTGCTAACATTCAACATTCACATTTAATCATTAGAAGGTGAACAAAGGAAAGAAATTAAGATTATATACTTACACTGGCTATATACATATGCAAAGCTAAGGTATTTCAAGTTGATTTATTTAAAAAAAACCCTGCAGGCTATAAATAAGTTGGAGACATATGGCTCCCTAATGGCTCGCCACGTAACTATTATTATCTGGCAGATTTACACGGTCATAATGGTGGAACTGAATTTAGAGAAAAGATGTGGAAAAAACCAAAACAAAACAAAGCATTTATCTGAATTTTTGGTTTGAGTTCTCTCCCACCGACATACCAATTTTTGTATTTTTAGGCTATTCCCAGTATGATTACTGTACTTACTGTACCATTATCCTATTATACCTACTGCCGTATGAAGAGGAATTAAGACCATTATCTCTCTCTTCACACTCCTGACCCCTGTCCATTTTACTTGTTCCCCTGGAGTCCTTGGATTTTGTCTCCTTCAGTTTAGTCCAACACTCCTCTTCCTATGCTTCCAACTGTACGGATTATTTAGTCCATGAATACTAAAAAATTCAGTCCAGTAACTGAGCACATTAGATATATACTGGATTGTAGTAAAAAGCCATTATGACTGTGATAAAGAGAATTGTTTCAATAGTACTATTCAAAGAATTTCCAGCCTTACTACCAGATCTTTCTCCTTCCCCAGGACAAGTGGATTTATATCTTCACATGGCTGCTTCTATGTTTCTTCTGGTTAACACAGTTCCCCTTTTAAACACTAAAATCACTTATCTGCCACTCAGTGTTTCCTTGACACATTCCAGTGCCACAACTTCCTAGTAAAATGAAGTAGCTCCTCAAAACACAGCTAGAGCATCTATTGCAAGATGCCATTGACAGAAAATGGAAACATGGTTTCAGAAAGCTCTGAAAAAGACAGTGCTGTGTACTTGGAGAGGGGACAGAAGTCATGAACATGCATTTGCATTGCAAGACAGCATGATCACAACTGCTGATACTGACAGCAGGGATACTGCCACGTAGGTTATCATTACTTCTACAGGAGCAGACAAATTCCTAGGGCTCCATCCGTCCTCTGATGCTTCTATACAGGATTACAAAGCAGCAAATGAGCAGACAAAATAATATAGCTGAGATACCCAGGGGAAAAAAAAAACCAAAACATAACATTGAAAATGTCTTTTATTCAAAATAAAATTTCAGTGCTGAATTATTGCCTCTTATGGAATAAACTTTATAGTAAGCCTCATGGCTTAATGCAAGGCTAGGGATATAGTCAAGTTTGTGTTGAGCAAGCTCTTTCGTAGAGAACCAGCTGCAGGGCCAAGGTGCAGAATTGCTGATTTTCTGAAACAAACAAAAACCCCCAGATACATAATTCTGAGTACTACATAGTTTAAATAATTAATAAATTAACTTGCTAGCCACCTTGTAGAACTAAATCTATTTTCCAGGAAAACAAGCAAACCTTTCTCTTAAGTTCTGTAGCAGCCACTCACTTTCATGGAAACATTTTCTTCTGCAATTCCAGATGGTAATGGATCTAACTCCCAGAGCTCTGTTCAAAGCAACCATCCTCCCTCTTCAAATACCTTCTTTTTCTTGTACACCAGTGTCCATAATGAATCAATTTACCTTTTGTTACTCTGTGTTTATGTCAGTGGCATACTTCCATCTGAATGCCTGATGCGTTTTATGCTTTTGTCAATACATAACTGGATTTAGACAGAAAACTGTGAAATCTAAAATCTGCTAAAAAATGCCCACTTTTTAAAAAGAAAATAACTTATATTTTTAAAAAAGTCATTTCTAGGTTCAAAATGATATAAAGATATAAAAATCTGCTTATCATAAAAAAAAAATATTACAGATATCAAAGTCCATATTTAGAATGGGATGCCCAAGTCAGACCAGAACAAGAGATAAGAGAAATTATCTCTGAGAACTTAGAGATCAGTCAAGCTAAAAAGACAACTGCAAGTCTGCTGCTGGAAAAAGAATACGCCTTATTGTCATTTAGCATATATAAGAATAAAATTTAGACCATTCTCTTCTAATGAATCCCAGAATTTGGTAGAGGAGGAATGCTATCATCCCTGGAGAGTATTTCAGAAGTATTTTGTTTTGCAATGAGTATTCATATATAAACTAGTAACAGATAATATGCTAATACAGATCAGTGTTTCGTAACTAGGGCTGATATAAAACTCTGGCCAAGAAACAGCTAGTAAGGATGAAAAGAATTTAATTGGATCAGATCATCTCAACAAAACAGGCTATCAGATTTAGTCAAGATCTGGGGTGCTGTCCAACTTAATATTTGATATTTACTAGAGCCTCATCAGGAAAAAATCCAAATATGATAACTTCCGCAAATATTTTATCAGCCCTTACAAATAATTCAGTCTTT